TGTTGCGGCATCCATACGGCGGGGCACATATCACACATGTTGTTCCGAGTACACACGTATGTTGCCTGCAAGCGATAGCGTCAACGGCAGCGGCAGCAGCAGCAGCAGCAGTGGCAGCAGCATCGACGTCGACAGCGACAGCTACGGCGCCTGGCCCAAATCTTGGCCAGCAATCGCAGCCAGCACATATGTGCAATCATGTGGAGCCCACCCCAAGGCCCCAATCCAAGCCAGAGACTCCATTTTGGTTTTGCCATTGGCGCTGGCAGCTGGACACGCCCATTGAGGCGCCAGGCGCATGCTCAGCGCCAGTTCGAAACGATTTCGATGTCGAATTTCGCACCAAGCCAGCCAGGAGGGAATATTTCTCTATGCTCGCAGCTGCTTAGTGTCAAATGTGAGATGCGGCTCAGGCAGCTGGGCGGATGCTACGAATTTTAATCGAAACTAGATAAGATTCTGCAAAACAAATATCAAATAGAAAGAATGACAAGTGCACAACGGCGGGGGTTGACGTTGCGGCTGGTTGGGTGGCTGGCTGGGCTAGAGTGGACCACAAATCCTTTGTGTATGAATCATAAACGCGTTAAATTGAAACTTGGGATTTTACGCAGCTTAAGTTTTTTAGCAATTATGAGCGAGCGAGATGGCCAGCTGAATAATAACAAAAACAGGCGTTAACACTTGTCAGCCGAGGCAGGAATATGTCACCCGCAAGCAGGAGTCTGGGCAAGCTCTGGCCAAGCGCCGGCTGCTCTGATAGGGCAGAATTCAATCAACACACTTTGGCTCGCACCACACGATAAATCTCAGTTAATAACTCGCATAAATTCATATTTATGGTCGAACATTTGAACCTTTTTGTTTGCACAAACACACACACACACTCACACGCAGACAATCAAAAGTCGATTAGCATGCAACGCCCGATGGCAGTTTCACAGCCCAGCCCAGCCCAAACCTGTGGCCCGAGCTGCAAATAGGCAAACGCAGGTAATCGCATTTCAAAAATGTTTGCCCTGCGCCCCTCTCTGCAGCCCAGCTCGGAAAAACAAACCAATTTTCAACCCCAGCCCAACGAAAAGTTCGTGTTGAAAATCTGCTGAAACACAATGAAAATATTTTGCCCTCCACACAAGGGATGGGCAGGCGCTAGAGCAGGAGCAGGAGCAGCAGTAGCAGTAGCAGGAGTAGGGGGCCTGGGACTTGTGGGCATGACTGTGACAAGTACAAGCCACTTGTGCGTTGATGATAATTTTTACATTTTTGGTAACAGACAGCGCCAGAGAAAGAGAGACAGACAGAGTGGGCGAAAGAGATAGAAAGCGAGGCAGATAGGTTGGACGACGGACCAGATATCTGAAATCGGCTTATGTCGCCTGCATTGTGCTGACAATGCTGGAGGAGCTTTTGTTTTAACCAGGGCCATAGATGGGGAGCTCTGGCCCAATCTGTGCGGCCAGGCATTCCATGATTTATGCCCAGTTTTAATTTAAAAGCAATCAATTTCGAAATGTGTAACCAAAAAGAGTTTAGGCAGCAAGAAACTTTCAGATAAGCTATCAAATGAAAGTTATTAATTGACTGAGAAACCGGGAAATGGAGACTGAGAGAAAGTTAAAGAGAAGCTGAAGAGAAATTAAAGTTGGACATAGAATGAGCAAAGATTTGAAATCTAATAAGTTTCATACTCTTCACCTTGGTCAATTGTTGCTCGGCTGACAAAAGGTGTCATTAGCAATAGGTCTAGGTAAAGGAAAGCAGAAACCCATTATAAAATTCAATTATGTCAAACATTCCGTTATCTTGATGCATTATGCTTGGCTAATGAGCTGCCGCTGACCAGCGATGGTATCAAATCAATTAAAATTTATCACTTTATTTTCATTAAGAGACAAAAGTCAAGCGAGAATTCCCCAAGGTGCAATTCGTTATCAATTCGCAGGACAATGGCGGCCCGGATGTGGCTTAACTGTAATTTGTCCTGGCGTCGACGCAACGTTACGTTCCCGTTATCTTGCCAACAAGGAAGACAATAAAACGCCACAGCGCTTGTCGCTTTAAATAATAAAAACATTTGATTTGCCAAAGGCGGCACGTGCCCGGACAAGGAGCCGGGATGAGCAGCCGGGCTGGCAGTGCGCAACCAAATCGCAGATAAAACGAACGCGTAAATTAATGGTCGACACGTGTCCTTGACGCTGCCACAAGGACCGCCAACCGGCAAGTGTGGCAGGAATCGGCTTGGCCACTAAGCTGGGGAATTGATACTCGACTTGGGATTGACTCTCTGACCACGCTGGGTGGTCTCCATGTGTGAATGGCCTGCTTATGGACAACAAATTATAAGCTCCGTGTGGGATCTGTTTGTTGTGCGTCTGCTGATAATTGAGGCGTAAATGTTGACACACGTCCCGAGAACTTCATCCGCCTTCCCGACTCCGAACGGAGTTTATGCGTGCGACAATTGCCAATCAGATTTACGAGTGCTCAGCGAGTGTGTGGCAGAGCTTTTCGGTTTTAGTGCAGCTATTCAGTTTTAGTAGAGCTACAGCCATTGGCGGCAACAAAGTCCATGATAACCCCATCAAACTTTTATAGGGTATGCACAGCTCGTGAATCGACCATTTGTGTGGTGCATAAAAAAGTTAATAAGCTGCACCACATCAACATCAAATGGCTGAAACAAAGAAGCTCACACAAACAAAGGCGCCTTTTGATTTTCCAGTCGAGGAACCATTTTCAAAACCTTTGACCATATGTGATAAAAATATAATCGAGATATCAGGAGGGTGTCATTGCTTAAATACCCTATATACATTATGAGTTAAAGCTTTATTCCATTCTGAACAAGCTATATGCAGTTCTTTTTGATAAAGAGACTTCATATGGAAGAGTTTTTGTCGGCAGTGACCGACTGAGAGACACACTTAAACTTCTGCTCTTTAAAGATTCTAGATAAGTTGTATATCTCATTGGTTTATTGATGGTCATATATAATAATGCTGATCTTAGCTCTTCAATTGTAATAATGTATGTAATAATATCGGAAAAATATAGAGATTAAATTAAGAAGAGGTTTTAATATTAATTTGAAGAAATCTTTAAACTGAATATTATTGAATATATTTAATAAGTGTCTGATTCTTATATGAATCAACGGGCAGAGACGTTTGGATAGAGAGATCCATGAAGAAATTGACAGGTGGATTGATTTTTAGGCAGAGCTAGAGCAACTAGACTCCTTATAATGTACATATGTAGATACATGTATTATATATTAATATGATATCACCAAAATATAATATATTGCTTAAAGTAAACTATATTTATTAGGTAAACAATCATCTTTTATTTGTATTGCTTATATACCTTTAATTATACTTAACTATCAGAAATGTACAAACCAAACTTAATTGTATAATTCTCAGACTGAATTGATATACACTCAACTTCGCAACAGTTTTGCAGACTCCCGAACATATACATAAGCAATCATTAGAGAAATCAACCCCCAGCAACACCAACATTTTTTACCTCATGAATAAGGGTATACAACAAATACTTATGCCAACGCCGCCTTCCGTTCCAAAGTCACACCACAAAGGCAACTGGAATACCTGATTGCATGGGACGTCTGACATATGGCCACTTGGACGCAAAAGGAAAGCAGTGAAGGATATGCTAACAACACAAACGATTTTGTGGAACAGGCAAAACAATTGTCAAATAACCACAGGACATGCACTTGGACGCATCTTGTGTGTGATTGGGCACAGGATGTGTGGCTGGGTGTGGAGGCTTGTTGCCTGGTTAATGATGAATATGCTGATGGGAATGGGATTGCACCCAGTCCAGTTGCTTTGATCCCTGATTGAAGCACAGCTGTGACACTGATTGATGGGCCGACCCAGCCCTGAGCTCGCCGCATCAGCGATTGCTTTAATCGAAATTCCGTGGGCAGACCGAAACTACACTGTTTAAATGGTGTCAACTGTGGGTCACATAAAAAATAATGACCAGCAGAGATAAAATGCTTTTTTTCTCTCTCAGTTTTTATGTTATTGCTCCACTTCGACAGCAGTCGCAAACAATATTTAAATTTTAAAAAGTTTCCAGTGTTACGGTTAAATGAAGCAGAAGCAAGATTGTCGCCCCAAACACAAATGTTTCATGGATTTTATATGCCAAGTTTGTGGCTCCAGCAGACGCTCGCAAAATGGAAAACAATGGCAGAGCCAAAGGCACGCCCAGCTGTGATAGACACGCCCACACAATCGAATTTGCACACTGGACACATTTTGGAAATTGATACAGATAGGAAAAAAAAAGGGACACCGTAAACCGGACACTCGATGGAACGAACTATCAAAGTATTTTTCAATAAATCATAAATCAATACGAGCGAGCTCTGGCAGACGGGGCAATGGGAAGCGTTTTTCCCTTGTGACCTTTTGCTGGCCAAGGGCTGGCTAATGATGTCTTAAAAAACGATTTTGGGCAGGCCCAAGAAAAAAAAATAAACGTGGCTATGTCACAAAACGAGGGCAATTGATGTCCCCAGGTCAAACGCATTAACAAAATTGCCGTTTCAGCTGCCGAGGCTCTATATCAACAATATATATGTATATATATTCATGTGTATGTATACGTGTTTGTGTGTGTGTGTGTGTCTCTGGAAAATTGAATTTCCACGGCGCTAAGTGACGGCGCCAGCAGAGCAACAATATTCTTCAAAATCGGCTTTAAGTCATGAAAAATAATAGACAACCCTCGACGAGTAGTAAAAAGCAGATTGCGAGGCGCCTCAGCAGCCAACAAAAATAAATAAAAGAGATTTTGGAACACATGCTGTGCTGCATATGATGGCCGACGCGACGTCGAGGACGCTCAGCGCTTATCAACTGAGAAACACTCATGGGTAGAGTGGGGAGAGCAATGTGAGAGCAACATGTGAGACTCCAAGGAGAAATAATTAAATATGTAGCCGAATATGTTGTTAGAGGTTAGTCTTGATCATTGCATATCCAGGTCACCGGGTATCTCTGAATCCTCAATGGTGCGCGAGGCGGGTATATAAACCTTAAAGGCAAACTTGGACTTTACAAAGGAGCCGGTGTTCAGCACGGTGCAGTCATGCTGGGTGCTGGCAAAGCTTTGGCACGAATCACCCATCACAATGAGATCGGGCAGTGGATATAGCCACAGGGCTGGATCGTAATCCCAGTGCACGGGCATTGCAATGGGATGTATGGGCACCAGGTGACCCTGACAGATGAGCGTGCGTGCAAAATGCTGCTCAATGTGCGTTGTATCTGGCGGAAAGTGCAGTGTATTGCGACAGAATTTGGCCATGAGATCCAGTCGACAGACCACAATCTGTTGCGTGCAATACTGCAGCCGGCAAGGATTCGTAGCCAGCTGGGTGCGAGGCCAGGCCTTGAGCAGGCCAGCGGCCAGGCACTCGGGCAATGGAGCCCGCGGCAATATATTTGGAGCGGTTGGATCCTCGACAGAGGGCACCAGAATCAAATCGGTTTGTTTTTTCAACTGCTCGCAACCAGCAGCCAAGGCACCCAGTGCATCCAAATGCTGACGCAACTCATGATGATTGCGTGTACTGGCCGTAAAGGGTCCCATCAATACAATCGCTTGCGGCGGACAGGAATCATAGCCGACAAAAAGCTGACGCAGCTTGTCCATAACAATAGGCAGATCCAAGCGCACATCGGATAGAAATACAATCGTTGTTTCAGTATTGCTGCGCTCCAATTCCTGCAAACGAGGCGAGTATTTCAGTAGCTTGGCAGCCTCGCCGCCCCAACTGTTGCCCGTGCCAAAAAAGGCGCGACTGCTACTAGCTGGCTCAGCGGGCGGAAAGCCCAGACCGTCAACTGTAGAGAGAAATCAATTTCTTAATGAACTGTGTCTCTTTGAGTTCAACTGAAACTCACCTTTCAGTACTCCATTTGCATAGCTACCCTCGGCTAGGACGAAGCAGCCCTCGCAGAAGAAGCCGGCATGAAAGCGAGCGCCACTCAAGTCAAGTTGCAGACAACCTGTTGGATCCTCCACATAGAACTTGCCTTCCTTCAGCTGGGTGAGCAAGCCCAGCACAACGGCCTCCTTTAAGCTGGATGTCGCCAGTAAATTTTCTGCGTACTGCAACTTGAATTTTTTTGTTTGCGCATCAGCTGCAACGCCGTCCTGTATGACTGCTGGTGCAAATAGATCATGACGCAGTGTCTTCTGTAGCAGCATAGCATAGCGCTGTTGCATATAATCGGATTTCATTCGAGGCTGTGGCAGCAGACAACGCGGTCGCGAGTCCAGCTCGAACTTCTTGATACGCGTGTTGTACCGATAGCGGGGCACTGTGAATGCATCAATAAGGGAGAAAATAGTCTCGCCCTCATCCAGACCAACACGATTAAGCTCATTGATGGCCTTTTCCAAGGCATCCCGTTCTACATGCGGCGTCGCTAGCTTCTGCCCTTGCAAATTCTCCGTTATGATTGTCAACCACTTCTCACGTTCGGTTGGCTCGAATGGCAGCAGCTGTTCGGCGAGGAAGCTGCTGTTTTCGGAGCGGATCAGAAAGCCACATAGCTTAAACGATGTTGTGATGCGCTTTCGTAAATGCGCTAATTCGTCCATTGCATACGAATTCAATTTATTTTGCACAAGCACAACCTGTTGATACTCTTATGAGTTTGGCGCCATTTGAACTAAAGAGCGAACGAACCAGTAGTGGAACAAGAGCGGCGCGTACTTTTCAACACTCTGAAATTGTGGTGGCTCGTCGATTCATTTGTTTGTACTCAAAAATATAAATAAAAATACTGCACCATTTAATAAATATTCAGGCATTTTTGTTTTATATTATTGATAGTTATCATTATCGCTATCTGTATTCTCTTCCTTGATTAGCTCTTGCTGTTCTTGCACATTAAGCTTCAATTGAGCGATTGTGTCGTGAAGAGCCACCAATTTGCGGGAACTGCTTCTTAAATTTTCAACGCGCTGACGGGTGGCTAAATAACAATCCAAAGCATTTTGATTATCCGACTTGCTGTCTACGTTCACAATTTGTTGCATGAGCTGCTGAAACTGCTCCAATATCTTTGTCAGTGCCAGCTCACAATCGGCATTTAAATTATACAGACTTTGCGGCTCAGCATTCTCTTTTAATGGCGGTGTCATCGAAGCCTGCTCTTCAACCTGCAAAAGCGTGTTGTTCGACTTCTCCATGATTTCACCAATCTTAATTCCTTGTTTGACCATACTCTCTCGTGCTCTGACTGCAATTAAAGAATATGATGAGCAAACGAACTTGAAAAAGAGATTTAGATTTACCGAGACCCTCCAATACATCGTCAATTATCCCAGACATTTAAATTTTTGTTCAGCGTGTTATCAAAGTTATAATCGTAATCGTTACCACAAACAATGTTAAGTTCGCAATGAACTGTCATTTGTCAGTGATGCCACTATGTTCAATTATGCTTATGATTTTAATTTACGCACTATAACCCGAATATTTATACTATATAATGTAGCTTTGGTACGTAATATTTTTTAAGCATCTACCTTATTAAATTGCAAACTGCGTTCACTTATAACCATAACAATTGAAAATCAACTTATCCGGATCAAATTTGGGCGCGCTGTTCTTAACAGTTTTGAAAATGTTAAACCTGAAGCGGCCACAGGTAGTTCCGTTCACTAAATGAACCATTTTGAGATTCACGCTCTGTACGCTCCTTGGTCAGCGCACGTGTATAAATATTGAAGAGTTGGTTTGCTGTTTATTTCTCACAAAATGGATGTTGTAAAGGCAGTTTTGGAAAAACATCAAAAGGAATTAGACAAATACAAACCAATTACTGTGGAAAAGCATTTAGAATGCCGCATCGATGTAGGCACACTTCTCATCACAGATCCCAACGATTTAGATGACCGGCAGTTGGCGTAAGAAAAGTTGAAGACCATATTATGATAATTTATATTGAATGATTGCCATATTTAGCGACAACAAGGAAGAATACCTGTCCGCGCTAACCCGTGATAACACACAGCTACTGGTGAATGCCATTTGGGAGCTGCCAACCGAACGTGTTGATGAGAGCATTGTGGCAAAATTACCTGAGCCAACGACCGTGTTGCCGCGCCTACGCAAACCTCCTGGTCCACGTCCTCTGACGAAGTGGGAGAAGTTCGCGAAGGAGAAGGGCATCACAAAGAAAAAGAAGGATAAGAAAACCTACGATGATGTCCTGGACGTAAGTAATCAAGTACTCACATGCGTGAACTTGTCTAATCATATTCAATCTCACAGAAATGGGTACCCACATACGGCTTTAAGCGTGCCGAGGCTGAAAAGGATAAGGAGTGGGTGCTGGAAGTGCCCCAGAATGCGGATCCCAACACAGACATGTTCCAGAAGAAGATCGACTTGCGCAACGAGAAGGTGGCTAAGAACGAGATTCAACGTATGAAGAATATTGTGCGAGCCAAAAAGATTGAAATGCCACGCAGTGGATATCTAGGCCCAGAGGCCGCATCCTCCAATCAACTGCTTACGGCCGTAACGGTGGCTAAATCCTCTACCGCATCAGTCGGAAAATTCCAGAGCAAACTGCCCAAAGAAAAGGAGGCCCGTGGTCTGGGTGTTAAGGAGCTCATACCAGGTGGCAAGCGCAAGGCATCTCATATCACAGCACAGCCCGAGCGGGAGGCCAATTTGGATCTTATTAAAAGCGTGCTGAATAAAAAGCCCAAACTGGATGTTGAGAAGGCGATATCGCTGCAAAAACAAGATGAGCGGATGGAGTAAGTCATTGAAATACCAACTTAGATGATATTTATACTAACTGTATTAAATTTGTAGGCGTGAAGCGGATAGCGCGAACAAACCTGCGAAAAAAGGCGGCAAGAAGGGCAAAGGCAGTCGCAAAGCAGTGGGCAAGAAGCCCAAGGGCCATCAAGGCCAGCGGGCGCCAGGCAAGAAGGGTCAGGCCGGCCGCAAACGTCGCTAAATCAAAATTGGGAGCTTTCACTAGGACTTTTTATTATAAAACCACACAATTTACATGATAAATACAATGATAATATTTAAGCCACATAAAGACTGTGTGCGTCTATCTGCGATGGAATCGCAAATCGACGGGTTTGCTATGTTGCGTCATATACTGGTAGACGAAGTTGCGGAAGATCCGGTTAAAGTTGCGTATAGAAGGCCAATGAAGATTGGCAGCATTGTCGTTTGGTGTGTGCCACTGGGTTGGAAAGGGTGTCGCTATCAGATGCAATATGGGCACATTCTCCTCCAAAAACGGGCGATGATCGTCGTCGGTAAATCCGCCAGCGGGACGATTTAGAAACATTTTGTTATTGCCCTCCAGCTGGCCAGAAGCGCGCAATGTTTGCTCGATCTGCACGAGACTCGTATGCAACCCGCTCGTGTTCTCAAAGAAGCTGGCAAATTTGGGATTACGTGCACCAATCAAATCAAGCAGCACAAGCACCTCCTACACAATATAGATGTTATATAGATAGTTCAGATCCGCGCAGCTGCAAAAAAATTCACTTACAATGCGATCAATGTGACGTGGGATTCGACCCCGTGCACTTGCAACTGGGTTGGGCATTTGACTATATTTCCTGGCCAAGTGGCGTGAGCCATAAAGCGAATCAGTTCTGGTCCAGTCCCTGAAGGCCTCCTCGCCGTCAAAGAAGATCAGCTGTAAATTTCTTTGATTATATACAATTATATTGAAAGTATATAAGAATTTCACGTACCATTAAACCGAGATCATTTCGATTGCGGAACTGCTGCAGCAGATAGCTGTTCAGAGTTTTCGCTGTATTCAATAGCAAGGCACAGGGTACAGCAGAATCGGTGGCGCCGACGAATCCGGGATCTTCGGCAAAATATTTGCTGTCATAGTGGCAGGCGAGAGCTAGGAAATTCAGTGCCTGCGGATTGATGTAGCCTATCACATTGGCGAAAGTTACTTCACCCAAGATCGGCACACGTTCCTTAAACTCGTCCACTTCAGTTTGAAAGCCAAGGGATTTGAGTGAGGTAACTAGGTAATTGCGGACCTGCTGATGGCCGCGACTACCAACAACGCGTGGCACCAAAATGGCTTCCAAGCTGCTGTTAAAATGCGCCTCATCGTCAGCCAATGGCGGCTGTTGATCAATCAAAAATGATCATTTCTCAGTAAAGAGGGGAATTTACTTTTCTTGGGAACTTACGTTGGCCTGTTGGGTGAGTGCGATATCAACTACTGCCATCAGCCCAACGATGAGCAAAATGTAATCAAAAGACGCCTTCATTATCGCATTCACAAACAGCGTCTGAACAAAAGCAAGCTCTATAGAGCACTGAAACTGCTCTGTCTGCGAATGGTATGAAACCGATTGCCATTGCTAATGAATTTCCTTGTGTTGTTGCTGCTCTCGATATACATACATATGTATGTAGCTGTTAACAATTTGTTGCGCTTGACTGTGGTGTTGTTGCTCTGC